TTAATTTCATTCTTAAAAATCAAAAAAAATTAATATTCAGCACTCTTAAACTTACTAATAATAATATCTTCCCCTACTAATTCCTAAAAAAAGTACAGTTCTGGCCCAATTAAGCCCCCGAAATCAAAGCAACTAAATGACCACTTCAACTTTCGCCCCTGCCACACATTATTTTTTGGCTAATTAATAGGCCGAATGCTAATGGAATTTTCCCTTGGAAAAGGTAAACTGGTCAATCGCTCAAGAAATTATCATTAGTTGGACTGTCAGTGAAATGCGTCGAGTGAAGGCAAACGAATTTATTTGATTTGGACCCAAGGTTCCCTTGACAAATATTGAAAAAGCGTAATTAGCGCAGGACACATAATAATGCACTCTAGTGATTAATTAGCCAGGAAAAACGATTTCCTATTGGTAAGGAATCATTGAGCCAAAGAACTTTCCAGCCAAATTAACTTTCAAATTCCCAGCACGGAGTTATCATAAAAGTTGGGAGTGAAAAAGACCAAATTTGCAATCAAATTGGAAGAGCCAAAGCTAAAGCCAACTGACCATTTCGGGTTTATTGGGTGCACAAATATTGAAAAGAAATTTGCGCTAAACGCCTCGAATTGCCAAGGCTGATAGCCACACGTATCGAAATGGCAATAAATGCAAATGAAAAGCTATAAACACGATATCCAGGCCTACGGCTGTCCACTTTTAACCCTCTCTCTCTCTCGAGAGAGCTCTCTAAAGGGTTATGGTTATGGACCACTCAATGGGTTAACCAAAAAGCATTTTCAATAAATACCAATTATGATGGGCACAGCCTATTGACCATTTAGCCGGGGATTTGACTTTGGCAGTTTCGATTTGAGCATGCGAATTATTTCCTTTTTGTGTTTTTGGGGGGTTGCAACATATGGCCCTTTTCAGGTGGGTCATTCCATGGCCCATTTACGGAATTATGCCATGGCATAAAAATTTGATGAGCTTCAACTTCACAAATGCCTGGATCCCAGTGAAAAGTTTGAAGTCCACGACGAGACCGGGGAATTTCCATGCTTCGAAATTGCGTGGCTCCTTACGCAAGTTGGAAAACTACTCACCCCACATCCTGTCATTCCCCCTGAACTCCATCTATTTTCTATCCAAATTATCAGTTGGCCAGTTGGCTCCAACATTGCATGTCTTGGCATACGTGGGCCATGAAAAATTCATGGTTCTGCCTTCATTGTACTGCCACATAATTAGACTGCGGCTGCCAAAAAATAGAGCTTGTCCTGCCACCATGATTGCGGTTAGATACCTTGGAAAAGAAATTCTCTAGATAAAGAACGCTTAGTGGAGTATAATTTTTAAGACATCTTAAAGTTATTTTATGATTTTAAATTGTAATCAAATACAACATATTAACATGTTGTTGTTATAGAAATTTCTTTTCTGCTTAGAATGAGGAGCCAATTTACTTCATTAATAATTATTTAACCAGTTGAACAAGTTTTTAAAATCCTAAAAAACAATTATACATTATTCTTTAGGATTATTAGCAGAGAAACTATTCTTAGATTAAATAATACATATATAAATAGTTAAATAATCAGTAAAAAAAACAGAAAAGTTAATATAGTATTATTTATAACCATATTATTTACGTTGTTTTCTTGGACTTCAATTTTAAAAAAGAATAATTTATTTAAACTGAAATTAAGTTTTTAAGTATTAATATGTTGAAATGTAAAAATATTTCTTAATTGACAAATATTTATACATTTTTATTTTCTAAAAATATCCCTCAAATGGAAACTGATTAATTTTTAAGGAATTAATAAATTGAAATGAGAATATATATAATATAAACATAATCCTATATTTAGAATTTAGAAAATTTATATTTTCCTTATCATTAAATACGAATGAATAATATTAGGGGTTCCTGTTGAACAAATTCAAAGATATTAAAAACATAATACAGTATAATTTGCTTAGCTGCCTCGATACTTAGCTGCATCGTCAAGATAGCTGCCTGATATTTTCATTTTTCTGCATCATGGTCACTTTAGTACGAAAATAATTACGTTTGGTGCACCCAACTTAGCAGCCTTCTGCAATTAAGCGCCTCATATCGGAATTTTTGATGGTTTTCTATGAAAATCATGTAAGTTAGCTGCGCCATCTATTGAGAGCGAAGCAAATTTTCTTAAATAATTTGTATAAAGTAAGGCAACTCGTGCAATTTGAATTTCTGCATTTCTGCATTTCATATGTTTTAATATTTTGTTAACAATAATTTAGACATTGAAATGAAAATATAATTTGGCTAAAAAAAAAACAAAATTTATATGTACTTTATTTGAGCTATAGGTCAACTTTTTTTTGTTCAAAAATTAAAATTAAGATAGCTGCCTCGAAGTTGCGTGCAAGGTACTCGAGGCAGCTAAGCAAATTATATTGTATTACCTTTAAGTTATAATTCTTAGCGTATACGAACATTAAATTTTAATATTAATAATCATTTACACAATGTACCTAACTATAAAGAAAGTACAAAAATCTTTAATATTTCTTAATGTTAATGTATAAAAGTGTTTCTTTTATTATTTAATAAGAAAATAGTTAAGAAACGAATAAGTAAACTGGATAAGAATTCGACTTTCTTTAATTGTAGTTTCATTTGATTAAGATCCAAGCCAAGGTCGCATATACTCCTTTAACCCATTCACTGCCAGGTATTCAAATGGGGCACCTGTCCAGCGGGGGGCGATTAGCTTTGTCTATTGGCCGCTGTCCCAAGTCCAATAGATGTGGTCTATAAAAAACAATGCGGCAATCGTTTGATTTACCCGCCAAGATTGCGTTCGTTCCAGGTCCTGAAATTTGCGCGCTTATCACTTTAATGTCGATTGCCCAGCACCACCCAGCACCACCCAGCACCACCCACCACCCTAAAACCTCCAAGAGGGCCAAAGGGGTCGTTTCGCGTAAAGGTCATTGTGTTATTAGTGCCACTGTACCGCAACTAACGTAATAGCAGAACAATTTATATTATTAATGCCTCGTATGTGGGTTTTGGCAGGGGGACTGTGCTACTGCTGGAAAATTCCTACGACTTATCTAAAAATATATAAATTTTTTTGTATTTTTAAGTTCTTGGATTTGCTATTAACTCGAGTTAATGAGGATGAAGGATTTCTTTGACGCATGCTGGCAATGTGTTAAAAATAAAAGGCTCGTCACGGCAGCTAATTGAAGGCTGGAAGGTTGGAAAGCACTTCCCGCCCCCTTTGAAGGCCTTTTCAGCCGCGGGTGTACTTAGCAAATTGCTTGTCCTCTGTTGCATAGTAAATGGAATGCAAACACAAGGGTGCCCCATGAACCGAGTACACACCGAACTTGGACTCCATTTCCTTTTTTTTTTTTGCGCTGCTAAAGAGGTCAGTATTACAAATAGAGCACCTCCGAAATGACCCTTCCATCCGGTAATTTCTGGCCTTTGTGCGATTGACACACGCATGTCAGGCCCCATTACCGGATCTCCATCAGGCATTACCTCCCGATTGTCCCTTGTACGGGGGATAGCCTTTTCCTTTTCGAAATTGCGCATTTTTGGTTTTCCTTGCACCTGACGCACCACCCACCACCCACCAAGCCAGCGCGAACAAAAAAGACACACGCCCACCCATCAGAAAAGATAATTTACCAGTCCGTCGGCCATATCGATCGTGTGAAGCTCGCAACGCTTTTCCGTTACTCCTTCCCGAATTGCGTGCCGTGATGTCCAATTTTCCCGCAGAGTGGACAAACGAAACCGCAAATGGAAAAGCTAAACCAACTATTTCGGCCGCCCAGGGAGGCGGGGCAATAACTATCGGGTCTGAGGTGGCCAACATGTGTGCCGCACACATGAATTATTAATTGACAATTGCCGAAAATGTCCATTAACCAGTCGAGAAAATGGTCGAGGAGAACAACGAGCTGGTGGGGTGGTTTGCTGGCCGGGAAAATTTCAATTTCTGGCTAATGAAAATTATGGCAAAACGGGGTTAGTTTTTCCGTCCACTGGCAGGTGTTTTCATTTCTTTGAATGCCCTTGAAGGGAGTTCATCGGATGGTGGATCGTATTTACATGGGAATGATGTTCTATTAAGTAACTAAATATTGAAAATACTAAAATGTAAGTTTAAAAAAGTTTTAGGTATATAAGAAAGAATGATGACTATATAAAAGAACGTAAGGATAATAAATCTGTTTAAGCTTTAGATAAAATCATAAAAAAATAAAGCTTGTAGTCTTGGGTATTAGTTTATACGAATTGAATTGCCTTAAAGTATCACTAAAAAAGCAATTTAAGTTCAAACTAGTTAATATTAACTACGTTATTGAGATATTAAGCCTTAAGTTTTTAGTATATATTACGAACATTAAGTATTAAGATTATTAATAACTATAAAGCAAGTAAGATACTGCAGTTCTAAGTGGACTTAAACTGGAAGCTGGAACTGTTAATACCCATTTCCCCTTAAAGGGTATTCAAACTTCGAAGCTCCCAACGAAAACTAAACCCATGTACAGTTGCAAATTACCACTTCCTGTAGCCATCGCTACACTGCACTGTCATTCCCTGAACATGCCTAATTGACCGACTTCATGTGGCACGCTCTATTGGCCAAATGATCGCCGAATGGCCGAAATGAGTTATCTATCAGTTCGGCATCAGAATTAAACTCGGAAATTTAGATGACAATTATTTTTAGATTTCCAAAGTAGACCTCAAAAACGTTGAGCACACAACGAAAACGAGGCATTATATAATAAATCTTCAAACTGGCATTACAATAGCTCTGCCACTGCCGAAACAGCTGAACCAACATTAAGAGTTGGCCAACTGTATAGCCGGTTTTTTGAGTAAAAGAGAGCGAGAGAGCGAGAGCCACATTTTACATTTTACTGACGTGTCATTCAACTCGATCGAGAAGCCGAGATCCAGAGAATCTTCGAGTTTCCATACAGAGAGAACAGGTGAGTAGAGAGAGTTGACTTGGAACTGAAAAACAAAGTTACCTGAGCGAAGCGAATGATTATTTAGAACTCCGAAGTAAAAACACTTCTCAGCTCTTCTTGTGGAGGTTTTAGCCAGTTTACGTTGATAGCCGGCTAGAGCAGGGTCAAGTTCAGAAGCCTCTGTATTTTGCCACGAAGATGATGCGGATTTTGGTGACACTGCTACTGGCAGCATTCCACTCGGTTCCCTCTACATGGGCCATATCCTGCACTGGCTGTGTGGATCTCGATGAGTTGAACTTCCAGAAGACAGTCGAACGTTTTCCCTATGCTCTTGTGAAGTTTGATATTGCTTTTCCCTATGGGGAAAAACATGAGGCCTTTGCTGCCTTCTCGAAGTCAGCCCATAGGGTGACCAAGGATCTTCTAATAGCCACTGTGGGTATCAAGGACTATGGAGAACTGGAGAATAAGGTGAGTCTTAAAAGACATAAAAAGTGCAGACCATTAGAAAATTTGTTACGATTTCCTGGTTTTCTTTTTTTAATGTTTAACTTTTATGTGAATTTTTAAGCACTGACGTCAGCTGTGGAAATCCACGAGGCTTAAAGTTAATAATTTTCACACTTTGGAATCATTACTTTTCTGTGAATAATTAACTTTCAGCTGCTGTTGCTGCGTTCTATTTTATATCAAAAAAACTTAGTTGTGGCTTTTAGTTATTTGAGATTTAATGTTAAAAGTGTAAAAAGAGTGATTTCGATGTAAAATTTATAATAAATAAATATAATTTAAATCTTTTCCAGGCCCTTGGCGACCGTTACAAAGTAGACGACAAGAATTTCCCTGCCATCTTCCTGTTCAAAGGCAATGCCGAGGAGTACATTCCCCTACCAAGCCACATGGACGTTACCCTGGACAACTTGAAGGCCTTCGTCAGTGGCAATACCCCCCTGTATATAGGACCCGATGGCTGCCTCAAGGAGTACAGTGATGCCCTCAGGAACTACGCCAATCTTCCCGACGAGGAGCAACTGAAACTCATTGAGAAGTTGGAAGCCAAACAGGAGCAGCTGGCCAGTCCCGAGGAGAAGCAGAGCGCCAAGGCCTATCTGATTTACATGAACAAGATCCATGAGCTGGGATATGGATTCCTGGAGGAGGAGAACAAGCGTCTTCAGCGTCTCAAGGCAGGAAAGGTGTCGGCGGCCAAGAAAGAGGAGCTACTCAGGAAGCTTAACATCCTGGAGGCTTTCAGAGTTCACAAGGTCACCAAGGCTAAAGGCGAAAAGCAGGAGCTGTGAGCCTGCCAAACTTAGTTAATTTTGTAAAATATTAGCATCATTCATGATATTTATAAGTCTCGAAAATGGGCAGTTAATTGTTAATGTAAAATAAATCTTAAACTAAAAGTAAATGGCAGATACTTTTCCATCTACAGGTACAAATTGTTGGTATGTCAGGAGAATGAAAGAAAATTTTTTATGTTAAAAGAAATTGACAATCTTAGGTAAGCTTATTTATGATAAAGAGAAATGTCACATTTTAAAGGACTTCAAACGGCTGATAAAATATTTATCCATTTATATCTATATCATATAGTTAAGTCTTATTAAAAATATTGTTCGAATAAAGTTTGATATAAACCGTTAACATATATTTATTATTTCTCTAATACAGAATTAGCTATAAATGTTGGAAATGTTTCTCTAAGAAACTGAAGGAAGAAACTGAGTCCTCTCTTTTATTTTGTCTCTTAATCCTGGATCCTTTAAGAAACAGTTCTACTCTATATTGTTATGGTAATGAACACAATCAAGAAACCACAAAAACGTTACAAAACATGCGAGTACTCGTATGAGTCAAATACTGATCACAGATCAAAGTTCTGGTAAAGAAAAGAGCAATTTCCATTCATGACTATATCTATATCACTACAAAATATTGCACTTCTTATATTGAGTTTATAACTTATTACTACCTACCTAACCTAGGACTTCCTCTCTTTAACCTTGTCCCTTATTCGTGGATCGTTTAAGACCCAATTCTCCTGCATATTTGAGCCCAATTACCAAATACTGATGTCTTATCAGAGCTCTAAGCAACACAAAAATGATTTTTTATATATTTAATAACAATTTTTAAGTATTTTTTAATGATTCAAAGTAAATCCTCTACCAGGCGGGCATAAATGTTGACAAAGAACTGCGTCCTGCCATCGAAAATAAAATCTAGGCAGACTAAGTAATCTCCCGATGGAACTGGAAGAGGAAGCGATATTTTGTGAAAATCACTTACCACCTGCAAGCCCTGAAAGACAACAGCTTTAAGTTATTATAATAAGAAGATTGTGAGTTAAAAAACAATAAAGTTACCACATAAGGACAAGAATGGTTCAAGGTAGACACATCCATGATAACATTATAGAACATCTTGATGACGGGATTATGACGCTTTCGCAAAAAGAGGCAAGCATCGATGGTGATATTGTACAGAAATGGCTTATAGCCATTGGCCCTTTTCAGCAACGCAAATCCGAGGGATACATTCCTGGCAGGATGCAGAAATGTTGCATTTATATTCAAGCTGGTTTTGTTCCGAGAATAGGCCTTTAGCCGACAGTAATGGAAAACTGCCCAGGACTTGTTGTACGAATGACAGACGACATTTGTCATTTTAACAAAGGTTGATTGCTAAAAAGGAATTTAAAGGGATATTAAGTTTAAAACAGCTACCACTCTTACTCACGGTGTAAAGTAAAAAAGCCAGTGGAACGAATAAACCCAGTAATATAAACCTAGAGCTCATGGCTGTTAAGTCCGAACAACAAAGGAAGACTGCAAATACGGATTGATTATTTTTGGCTATAGTAAAAACGTTTTAATTTGAAAGGCAGATTGATTTTTAATAGGGCTAGACCTTTCCTACAATTATTTTCAAACTCTTTTATTGAATTAAATTTATACTACATTTTTGGCCCACATTTATTTTTCAAAACAATCGACAAATTTGCTTATAGTAATAATCAATATGCTATACATTTTACAAAAAAAAACTACAAATTAGTTCTTACCAAAAAATCTCACTTAAATAATAAAAATATAATAATTCTAAATAAAAGTTAAAAGTTTAAGTAAATTTCACAAGTAGGCGAGTAAGACATATAAGTCCGATAAGATTTTTTTTAATTTAAACCTAAAATTGATGTTTAAATTACTAAATGTTTTTGATGATTTGTTAAAAGAAGGGTTTTTTAAAAAGGTATTTATTTATTTATCTGAGACTGACAGTTAGTTAAAACTAAGAGCTAACATCTAAGGTCTAAGGTCAAGGCTTCTGCTCGCAACTATATTTAGTTTATGGCTTGGTTAATAGTTAAAATATGAATTCATATATATAATATGATATATATAGATTAACACAAGGGCTTACTTATTACATTTTATTTACACATTATTTCTACTTGCAAGATGATATGGGAGTTTATTTATGATTTAAGGTCTTTAGGGAGTTTTTAGGGACCGGTTGTCATTTTGAGTATTTCTTGTTACCAGTCTGATGTACCTAGTTGTGACTGTTTTCCTTGTAGGAATGATTTAAAAAAAATGAAATATGTTGATAGGGTTTAGGTGTAGGTTAAGGGGAATTGGCACCACGTTTGGCTGTATTGTCAGCTTTATCATTCCCGGTAATTCCCCGTGACTGTGCACCCAAATAAGCTTAATTTTAGGGATATTTAAATAAAAGTTACTAATAGCAAAAACAATCTTTCCTGCTACCTCTAGTAATATAAGCTTATAATGAACGGTTAACTGATAGATCTGAAAAAACAATTGCAAATATATATTCATTTTTTGCGCAGTATTAGGTTGAATAATTTGTTGTTTATTTGCTATACCTTTGGCTCTTTCATTACAAAACAATTAAAAATATGAATTACTTGCACATGTTTTTAATGAAAAATCTCCGCAAATTGTGGGCGTTCAAATGAGCGCTGCTAGCATGCCCAAATCAAGTATTTATATATATATATATACTTTCTATCTATATACTTATAAAGTTGAACTCGCGATCTGTTACTTGTGATAAACATTGCAATGAAGACATTTTACATTAATAGTAATAGATGTTGTACATAAAAACTATATTTAGACTTTAGACAGCCTTTCAGCATTTCTGTTACTTCAGCTAATTACATGGTCAGCCCCACGTATTATTCCAGGTATATTTTAGTTCATTAATTTATATTTCAGCTTATTTAAGCTTAACTTGTTTCGCGAATATTTTCTTTTTCAGCCGAAAAGTATGATAATTGTTTAAGTTTTGTTGCTTAATTTACAGACAACGTTTATCAGCTGTAGAAAAGGTGTCTCCAGGAAAAGCAATTGGACTTTTTTAATTAGGTGTTTCTGTGTCAGCTGCCAAGAAGTAAATTCTTCAGATTAATAACTTTAAGCAACCTTATTAGGAACCGAAATTACTGCAATATAAAAACCAAATTGTATGTAATATCAGTGAGCAACTTTAGACAAAACATGTATACAAAATTACAAATATAATTGATAATTCAAAAATAAATATAACAAAGTGATTTAGTTAATAATACGCTATTTGCAAAAATAGTTCTCTGAACAATCATAACTATTTTCCAAAGTGATTTTTGCTATAAACCCAGAAGAGTTACTAAACACACAGTTTATACTAAAAAAGAAAAATATGTATAAAAATATGACATATATTATTATTTTTTGTACAAACTAAAACTAACGAATGCTGTTTTGTGACTTACAAATTTATATCTTTATTCTATTACTCTTAATCTTTGGTAGTATATTCACGTACATATAGTAAGCCAACGATCAGCTTGTCAATCGGCTGACTTTTCTAATGCTAAACTAAACAACCCATTTGTCATTTTAACGAAGGTTGTCTCCCACAAAAAATGTGCTAGGTGTTACATTGTTTTTAAAATAAAGTATCTTGAAAAGCCATTAGCAAATAACATGGGGGAACGTGGCTAATAAACATGAGCAAAGAGCGATAAATATGGTTAAATTTATATTAAGTAGCTAAACTGCATCACTTTGGTTTTGGTAGATTGATTTTTAATAAAGCTAAACTAAACGTTATATTTTTTTAAGCTCTTAGATTATAAAAAATATTTATATATATTTTTTTGATAAGCGAGGTCAAATCTGGCAAACAATTAACAAACTTTCTGAAGCACGAAACATTTTGTTTTCATGCCAAACAGCTATGTCATAGGTGTGCCCTTTAACCTTTTGGAAATACAAATAAAAAAGCTAACAGTACTCCTAAATAATCTTCTATAAAAAGTAAAAAGATACTTGATAAACAGTTTGTAAGAGTCTTAATGCTCGTGCCATTATGGCAATAATACATTACCTCGACCTTACAGTCAGTGAACCCAACCTAACTGTTATCAATCCATAAAATTGTCAAAAGAAGCTTAGGAGAAATAGCATTGCACTAAAGGAATCTCTACCAGATTTACTTTAGATATTGTGCATCTGCTTATTTCCTGAGGAAGTGAAAGCTGCATCTTTGAATATTATCCTTACCTTTTTGTAGGCGTCTTTACGAACGCGCTGCTTACTTTTGTGTTTTAAAACAACGTGTTACTTTTTTTCTTTTTCTTTTTCTTTTTCTTTTTCTTTTTCTTTTTCTTTTTCTTTTTCTTTTTCTTTTTCTTTTTCTTCTTCTTTTTCTTTTTCTTCCTAGCTTAATTTCAACATGTATTGGTGTCATTTGCTGATCGTGCGAAAAGGACACAAATTATGTTCATTACTATGATCTTTATGCAAAAGTAAGGGAGAGGAAAACATTGTGCTTAGTGTGACTGTTTGTTACCATCTAGTGTGACCACCTGCTACAAGTTAATGTAAATGTAACTAGTAAAGAGACAGAGGGAGAGAGGGTTCTGAAACATAACAGTGCCAAGAATGGCCATAAAATCGAAACCAATTAGTAATGTTTCATTTTTGTTTAAATTAATTCATGATTAATTGATGATATCTCAGCCTATGAGTAAAGTTAAAACTTGCAGTAGTACATCCCTTACAAAGCTCTAAGACCTCTTAATGACTGAATGGCACTCACAAAAATCAGCAGATGTCAATCGATATACCAAACAAAAAGGTCTTGCTGTCTCTACTAATTTGTCAGTCTGATAACGGGGCAAATCCTGAAAATAGTTAATAACTAATAATAAGTAATTATCTATTATTAAGTATTAGGAAAAAGTGTTCTGAGGGTAATTTAACCCTATAATGAACGCTTAACTGAAAGAACTGAAAACACTTTTTGCGCAGTATTAGGTTGAGTAGGTTTTCAAATTTAAATATTGTTTATGACGGCATAACATTTTATCAAATCCAAAGTTAGAAAGTATTTAAAATGATAAATTTTTTGCAATTCTGTTAAAGATCAAAATATCAGAAATTTTATAAAAAATGAATTATTTTTAAATAAGAACTTGTACATTTAAAGGACTTTAGCGGTAAGTGGGCGTTGAATTAAAATAACATCCCAAGTATTTTGTTGCCAAAAACTAGATTTGGATATTTATCCTGACCAAGAATATATATTTATAGAATTGGATACACTTTGTTCTGACTCTTACTACAATACAGCCCGTTTTATCCTGACACTTTCCTTCATATCCTAAATATATTCCCCAACTGAACTTGTGTAAACAATAAAAACAATCTGTTTATCCTTAAACCCATATTTTTCATAGTTTTTGTGTTCACTTTGGGCCCCATGATCTAGTTTATTGTATATTGATTGTTGAAGTTTTTTTCATTGAATATTTTCCTTTAAAAATCCTCTTTAAAAGTAAAGTAAACATTGACATGGAACTGCTTCCTACCATCGAATATAAAGTCCAATAATACTCCGTAGTCTCCTGTTGGCAACGGTACAGGAAACACTGCGTGATGATAATCACTAACCACCTGCAAGCCCTACAAATTAAAAAATAAAATTAAACTTTGTTTAAATATAAATAATTCAAAGATCTTGCCTCATAGGGACAGGTGTGGTTCAAAGTAGAAACGTCCTTTATAAAATTATAAAACATCTTGATGACGGGATTGTGTCGCCTTCGCAAGAAAAGGCAGGCATCGATGGTTATATCGAACAGAAATGGCTTATAGCCACTGGCCCTTTTAACCATCTGCAATCTGACAGCTATATTTTTGGCCGGATGAAGAAATGTTGCATTTATATTGCCGCTTGTCTTGTTCCGCGAATAGGCCTTTAGCCGACAATAATGGAAAACGGCCCACGACTTGTTCTGTGATTCACAGACAAGGTTTGTCAATTTGACATAAGGTGCTTCCTGAAAAAGAAGTTTTTGATTATTAATATATATAAAGAAATCACCTTACACCCACAATGCAAATCACAAAAGCAACTGCAAAGAGTACTGCAATTAGCAAATTTTTGGTATTCATGGCAAGTACACCTCTTGAGCTACGATAAACTACTGCGGAGGAGTGATCGATTTTCAATGAAGCCGAGCAGCGTAGCCAAACACACTTTTTATACTAGATCTGAAAAATATTAAAATAATATTAAATATTATACAAATCAATATTATCAAAAACAGATTAATTTTAAGTTGTTGTGTGTTTATAATTCTTTATATTTGTGGCAGCTTTATTTGTTTAGTTAAAAATGACAACACCTCATTTGGCCAACTAGCTGACTTTTTCTTTGCAAAAAGTTCATGTAACTACACATTCATCATTCTTACAAAGGTTGTCAATTGCATTGTTTTGAAAAGCCATTAGCAAAAAACGTGCAAAACCAATTTTATATTTATTTACGCTAGCATAAAGATTAATGGGATAAAAGACAGCGTATTGAAAACAATTTCAAAAGTTTGTCAAATCGAAAATGATTTCATGCATCAGTTCAGCAAGCAATTTAATAATTACTCAGTGTTTAGTTTATTTATAGCTAACTTATTTATGATAGCTAACTTAAGTCAAATATAAATTTAATCGTTAATAAGATTTTTTACTTTTTGCAAATTAAACTAGCTATAGCTGATAGAATGCTCAAGATCCTCTCGATGAATCCTGCCTAAAAGTATGTAACAAAATTCCTCAAATAAAAGTATATGTTAATAGGTTTGAGAGAAAACTAGAGCATACTTTTAAGACAAAATGCATTTTTTATTTTTATATTATATTTGATATACATATAACTCCAAAGAGCTTTATAGAAGGGGAAATAACCCCAACCCCCACATTAAGTGTTATACAAATGCACTTCTCTGTGAGATGGCTAGAGCTGGCTATCTCGCTCGTGCGATCGTGCCACGGCGAATACGAATATAAATATATTCGTGTAGAAATATGGCTGCGTTGGCCGTGCGGTTTTCTCGAATGGTCGATGGCTTTTTTTTAGAGAGGGGGGGAGGTGGGGTGCTTTGGGGGCTTGATAGAGGAAGATCGCGGAGGAGTGGGGAGTTGCTGTTCTTGTTTTTTTATTGTCTGCTGCTGGTGGCGCTGCGTTGTGTGTGTGTTAGTGCATGTATATGTATCTCCAGCTGTATCTGTGACTGCGCTCGTGTCTGTGCGTTTGTGTGTTTGCGTTGTTATCGCTCATTTTCACTTTAATGTAATTTTTTGTGTGCACTCTTTGGAGTTTGCTCTTTTGTGCACACGCTGAGTTGGGGCCGCCATATTTATTTCGATTCGAAAACGGTGCAGTGACAGAAATTCTAGTTGGTTTTGATTGCTAATGGGTCTGTGATGTATTTTTCATATTTTCAAAACAGATTTCAAGTTTTTTTTTAATTTGTGTTCCTCATATTAAAGCTATGAACTTTTTATATTGTCAAAAAGTTTTTGTCTTTTCGCAGTTTTCGGTAACTTTGTGATATTATTATATCTTAAGTATATTATTCCTTCTATTTTTCTTCTAATTTTATACTTTAAACTTCGAATCGTAAGTCCTTATTAAATATCCCATAAAAATTGAATTTTTAGATTTCAAAAATCCCATAGCCTAGAAAATAAAAACAATTCTTTATGAACTCTTCTTAAAAAATATAAAGTCCAAGCTTTTAAAATAAAAAATTAAAAATATAGTCTTACCACAAGCTCTTACAAAATGAAAAGCCTTACTTAGGACACAGCTTTAATGCAAAAAAATATGAAAACAACTAAGTAAGTATAAATAAAAAATGTTATAAACGTTTAAAAGCTAACAAATTTTCTTTCAGTGCAGCAATAAACTCACTAAAAAGATGCGTGCCGTTGTTGTTGTTTCTCTATGCGAAAGTCAATGAACTTTTTCGGTGCTGTCTACGCATTTTTCCCGGCTCCGCTTGTTTGCGATAACTATTTGGGTGCACTTTGTTGTGTATTTTGTACTTTTTTTTGGACAACGGATACAGACACACACACACACACATACGAATACGCACTCCCAGGGGGAGCAAAACTGAAAATGATTTACTTGCGAGGGAAAATAATTTCCTTATCGCCGACACTGCACAAAAAAATCACAATCAGCACCCGCTTTTGGCGATTTTCTTGCCTTCGGTCTTTGAAAATCAAACAACCTTTGACCCGCAGCTCTGCCAATTGGCAAGTAAAAAGCGGAAAACTCAATTGGGAAAATCAGCATTATGCTGGTGATGGCGAAAAATAGAAATTTTCACACACTCGCAACCGCAGATTAAACTGGGATCGGGGTAAAAGTGATGCAAATATTTGGTTTTCCACGCAAGTGCATCTCTCCTTACGAAGATCAATCAATTTTGGAAACCCTTTCTTTGGCCTGGGAAATCAAGAAAATCACCCACGCAGAAATCGAAACCCATACCTTTACCCCCGTCCCTCTAAGTCTTACCCATCTCTTCAAACTGATTATCCATTCACCCCGTTTTATGCACCTGGCAAGTGCGTAGTTTTTCCTTTTTTTAAGGAGTGTGGAAAATGTGCAGACAGGACAATCAGGAGCAGCAATCTGGAGCAAAATGGAAAATTGAGAAATTTATTGTCGCCGGCTAGACGGAAAAGTCATCATCAAGCGCAATGTTGCAGGTCCAGCCAAGTGATCTCCATCTCCATCTCCCACTCCATTTCCAACTCCATCTCGATCTTGGCCATTCCATCCGGCGAGACTACCTGCTGCGAGATTTACGTTTATGCATTTCATTTTGTCGTTTTGTTCGTTCGTTTTTCGATCGTTTTTTTGGCCATAAAACAGGTTCGGGCCAGACTCTTACTTTATCAGCCGCTGCAGATCGCTGCACATTTCCAAATGTGCATCCCAATCCCGACTTTTATTCCCTATCCCCTTCCCCTTCCCCTCTCCTCGATTCCGATCCCAAATTCAATCCCGGTCCCATTACCATTCCCGATCGCTGTCTTTCCCCGTCCGCGATTCAACACGCCTACAAGTTGTCAACCCGAAAAGAGGTTAAAGTGCACTGAGAAAACTATTAAGTGATACAGAATATATAGATTTAAGTATTGTTTAGATCTAACTTTATATCAAAACCTATAATTAATAAGAATTTTGGTATTTGTTAAGTTTTCTAAGCAAGATTTTTGGTCTAAGCTAAAAACTTTATAAAATCATTTTCAGTTCTATAAAGTTCTATAAAACTTAATTCCAGCTTTATGTATTTTGTTCCCTCATATTTATTCGCTTCAACAATTTGCAAAGTAAATAGCCAGAATCCTGTTAACTTTTTCTCCCAGTGCATGAAATCAATCGAAGGAGTTGGGGCAAGGGTTCGCGCCGAGGTCAGGCCCTAAACTTATAGCCATACTCGGCAAATGCACAAAGTGTGTAATCCCCGGCCCCAGCGATACGGAATCTGGTCGGTCCGCCCTGCCGACCGACTGACTTTCGGCCGATGTGATATGTTGGCCATAATGCTGGGCCAAGAAAACCATTTTCACGACTCTCGACTCGACTTTCTGTTGTTGCTGTTGCTTTTTTGCGGCCTCTTTCTTTGGTAGTGTTAGTAGTAGGATTGGGGCTAAAAAAAAACCAGCACAGGTAGTCCGGCTAACAGCTCTAAACCCGATTTTCCTCATCGCGTAATGCGTGGCTTCGAGAAAAATGTTTCATTTTGAGGTTTTTGCTTTCCTCCGGCCTTCTTTGATTGCAGAGTTTTGGGGCAGCTTCTCATGGCTTAATTGGTTACAACAAAAAAAAAAAAGGAGAGGGGCGGGGCAGCGTCTTGGTCGATTGGCGTTTTGGGCCGTCAGCGTCATCGGCCATTGCACCGCATGCAGATGCGTTTTTTGGTGCCCCAAAGTCAATGACTCTTGAGGCATTCGCCGTGGGCCCAAAAGAAACGCTTGACAGATTCACACACCGCTGCATATTATGCAGAGAACCAAAAGTTTACGGCCGTTTATTTAGAGTTTATTCGAGGGGTTTGTGAATATTTTAATTAGTTTTCAAGTCAGTTTATAAAGCAATGTTTGAACTTGTTTGAGGGGTTTTATGTCGATAAAGTTAATATCATTTGGTGGGGCTTAAGAAGTTTTAAACTTAACCCCAAGTTCTTAGAGAGCTCCTGGTTAGAGCAGTTTTTAGAGAGTTACTATAAGAAGATTGCATAACATTCCATTACATAAATTAACTAAATATTAATAGTGCCACTAAATTTAAACATAAACCATTTCTCTTTGTGCAAAAAGTGGTTGGAGAGCTGAAAGCATCGCTTTTAACGCTTTTGAGAAATGCCTGGGAAAGCGGCGAAATGCAAACCGACATAACCGAGCGTCTCGCTGATTGAGATTCATGAGAGATCTGATAGCACCAGCATGGCATTTCCCGCAAAAGGTAGTAGTAATGCAACCCTTTTTCCCAGCCAGGAGAGCCAAGGAGTGCCCTTCCTCCGCTGACCCTCATCTGCTGATGGATCATAATTAATGTCAAATAATTGGCGGAAATTTGTTTGCCATTTAATTGTTGGACTTTCACCACTCTCGCGGCACACTTTGCCCCCGCCGCCCCTTGGCATTTCCAATTTATTTTCACAATTTCTCAATCAATTCCCTTAAATTGAGGAAGATGCGGGCGCGGGCCAGCTAAATTGTTGAATTGCAATTGCAACATTTCGTTTCGTCTTCGAGTTTCCCACTTTTCCGGGGGTCATTGACTCCCATTTCATTCTGGTTTTCTGCTTTTTCGGGAGCGGCGCGAATAAAATAGCTTTTCCGCCATTCCCAACGGAAATCCATAAATAGTGCTTGTGTGGGTGCGTCGTTTTCACCCAAAAAAAAAAAAAAAGAACGAAAGAAAAGCAGCGAGAAATGCATACATGAAAATCCCAAGGCAACCTGCATGTTTCGACCGCGATCGCTATCGGCGATCACCTTTTGTCCTTTGGCCAGGATTCGCGGCGTTCCCACCAAAAGGTTTTCCATTGTTAGCCGTATTTTCTTTTTTTATATCAAAATCCAAATCGAAATCAAGGGAAAGGGAACGGAAAGTCAGGGTCGCAACAATAGGGTCCAAAGAGCCAAAGTCAGAAATCGCTTAAGGTTAACACATCGCAAACAATGAAGGAAAATCAGGGGGAGCGGGACAAGTGTCGCGACCACGACGAGGGTAAGAAAATGGAAAACCTGTTTGTATCATCTTCTGGACAGCCTGTACCTGTGTATCCACGGTCCATGCTGCCAAGCCTAGCCCTATCCTAATTGAGGATGGAGAACGATGCCGCTGAGTCAGCGGCAATTGCTAAAAAAAATAAATAAAAAATAAGAAAAGGAAAAGAGAATCGCCGAGGGATTGGGAAATTGGAATTGGGATCCTGAGAGCTGCAAGATCGCGTAAGCACCTCGGATCGAACAATTAACAACTGCAGGTCTGCAGGTGCCGTAGACAAACAGCAAAAGTCACATACTCCAAGCCAGACGGCGCACAATGGCCACAAAAGTCAGTAGGAAAACATTAGCCAAAGGCAGAGGTAAAGGAAGAGAAAGAGAAAGAGGAAAATGGGGGCGGGGGAAAAGGTCCGATGGCAACACACAATTCAGGGAAGAAGAAAACGCACGGCGACGGGACATGCGAGTGCACATTTTCGTCTATAAAATTTATTCGCATTAATCGCCGTCAGAGATAAAAAATTAACGAAAAGAATGGCCAAGGACGTGGACGTTAGGGCAGAGGGACCGATCTAGGGGTAGGGGTCAGGGATATCTACTCCTGGGATGATAAGGCAACATTGACACCTTGGCCAGGCAGGCGGCAGGGCAGGTAGAACCTGCGATAGTCAGGGCATCCTGCGTCTGCTCCAGCGATTGCGTGAGTCGTCTTTTTGGGCAGGGCTGCGGCCTAAAGAGCAACAAATTTGCAGTCTGACAAGGCCTTAAACCTAAGACCTTAGTCCTTGGGTTACAGGATATGACAATGGCAGGACTGTACCAAGAATAATATGAAAATTAATTGAAATGAATTTATGATGTTTTACAAGAATGAGAATCTTAGTTTTATTTCTTTTTGAGGACTTAATTAGCTAATTTGACTTACTTGTTGCTGAAAAACTTGGAAGTTTGTTTTTGAAATCTTAAATTAAGAATCTTAAGAATCTTGAGAAACATTCTTATTGAGCAGCGTTATAATAAATAATTAAATATTAAACATTAATGAACTTAAAATATTAGGTTGTCAAAAAAAAAGTCTTGCGGTATTTTCGCTGGTTGGCTCTGAAAGCGTAGTTCTTGTTTTATTCGTCGCATCAGATTATACTATACCTTTTTGGAAAGCTCATTTCACGCGCTAACACGTGTTTGATTGATTGTCTTTTCTTTTAAGTCTTTCGTGAGTTATAGCGTCGCAATCATGGAGCAAAATAAAGAGAAAATACGGCATATTTTACTGTACTACTACGATAAAGGCAAAAATGCATCTGAAGCCGCCAATAAAATTTATGCAGTTTATGGACCCGATACAGTTTCCATTTCCACCGCACAACGATGGTATCAACGTTTACGTTCTGGTGTAGAGGTGGTCGAAGATGCGCCACGCTCCGAGTTTTTTGGCAATAGGGGAGCGAGCTTCTATGAGAGGGGCATTATGAAGATGGCATCTCGTTGGGAACGCGTCATCGAACAAAACGGCGCATATTTGACTTGAATCGCATTATTGTAACCAATTTTATACCGCAAGACTTTTTTGACAACCTAATATATATAGTATTGGAAGTATAAAGTGTAAGAAATATTATATAAGCATAAGCAGTTTCTATACTATTAAAGGTAATGGTTGAAAATTATACTTTTGTGGTTACTTCTATATCTTAGTACTTCTCTTTCCTTAGTTTAAACACTTAAATATATAATCTTAAATAGCAAAAATATTTTGAAGCTAGATCAAAACAGTTCCTAATTGATCTTAGAATCGGATCAGTAAAGTCTTAAATACATTAAGGGCTTGTGAAATCCTCTTCTTGAAATAAATAAAAGATATTTAAGCTTAGTATAGCTTCCTGTCCATAGACAAGCAAAGTTCTTACATTGTATACTGAGATATATGATAAATAATATAATAATAATAATAATAATGCTGATATACAATCAAGTTACAAATTAAGGTGTAGAACAAACTTGAACTAACCGAAAGCCCCAGCAGCATTGGCTTTTCTCCCTCTTCTGCATCTTAAGTTTTCAGCTTCTTTAAAACAAGGCTTGAAAGTTTTTAGGGATTTGAAAATCAAATAAATAACAATAAATACTTACTTAAAACCAATTACTTAACACTTTTTAAAGAATATTTTTAATAAATATTACGTGATAAGAGAACCCTGAAGCCTTCCTTTAACTTCACCTTAAACTTAGTCCATCATTTTGGCCACTCTTCAGTAATTTGCATTATTGATTTGGATTACAGTGATGACCTCCATTTTGTACGATTTTTCCGGAGTGTGGCCCCGTGTCTATTTCCGTAGTGGGCCTGTCCCACTGCGGTGGTCCTCCAGTGAGTCGGTGGGTGGGTAGATGGGTGGGTGGTTGGTTGGACTGCTGGCAAAGCAGCACCGCAAAGTGGAATGAAGCGTATGCGTGTGTAATTAAGTGCGCAAAAAGACGCAGGAGGCTGTTGGCGAAGGGCGATGGGCGATGGGCGGTGGTGTGGGCGTGTCCGTATATCTGTATTTATGGGACACACACGTACATATGTATGCAAATAGGAAAAGCATGTTGTTGTTGCTGTACTCCTTGAAGGTTGTCGGTGGTGGTGGAGGAGGGTGGGTGAGCACAGAACGGGCAGAGTGGGTGGTGGGGTGATAAAAATGTTGATGTAAATTGCAAAAAGCAGTTTTTATGTCCCATTGCCACATATTTTCCAAGGAGGCGGGGTAGAAAGCTGAAAGCCTGTGAAGTGGTGCAAAATATTATAAATATTCGTTGGGTTGGGGGAGGAGGGCTGTTTTCTCTGTAAGGTGGTGTCTCTTTGTGGGTGGGTGTTTGATAGCCTTGTTTGCTTTGATGTGCCATTGTTTGTTTTAGTTTCGCTGTGTCTTTGAGTATCCCAGGTTTTCCATTATCCAGTCTATAATTGGCACATTACTGCTTAGTGAGAGTTCACAAGGATCCAGAGAGGAGATTTTCACTTTTCAATATTCTTTCTCTGCTTACTAACATTTCCCAGAAAACAGAGAGTTTTCTCAGTGCTTAAGTGCAGCTAATAGGCCATCTTCTTCTCCACTTCTTGCTTTTAGTTCACAGTAAAATTTCCAAGGACTGGAAGACCTGCCCAACACTTTCCCCATAGTGTTGGCCAATATTCAGTAGGCTGTGCTTTTCTTTTAGCTGACAAAATGACAGAAAGGCAAAGGAAAATATTTCTTTTTATCAGAAATGTGACCAAGAAAGTTAGGAAAAAGTTTCGACTTCATTTAATAATTTTCCTAAGGAAACTCCAAGCTATTTGAATGGAAAACTAATAAAAAAAAACGTTGGTCACAAACCAAAGAACTTGAATATCCGTAGATACGATAGTAAGTTAACTAGAAAATATTAAAGAAAACTATAAAAATGGTAAGTTATGTATATAAAGGCCCAAGAAGCCCCCAAAAACACATACGTTCTCCCTCAGTCTTTTCCCACGTCCCTTTCCGTGAAACTAAAGCTACCAAATCGTGTCCAGCCAGAGGTTATGCCTCAGCCTGGCAAAGAGGGTCGCTATACCAATAAGATGCACTACATCAAGAAGCATTTGCTGGACGAGATTAGCAAGAAGAAGTTCGCCTTGGACTTCCTAGAACCAGTGGACACGGAGGTACTCAAGGTTCCCACATACTACAAAACCATAGACACCCCCATGGACGTGGGAACAATATTGAAAAGAGTTCAGAACAATTACTATAGGAATGTGGACGAGGCCGTGGCCGATTTCCAACTTATCATCCACAATTGCTTTGTTTTCAATCAAGAAGGCGACGTGGTCTATCGCAAGGGTCAGAAGATGGAGAAGTTCTTCAAGAAGGTGCTTAAAGGAATGCCAAAGGGACCAGAAGTGCTGTGCAACAAGGATCCCAAGGCGACGGGACCGACGAGGAGCAATCCCACCAATGTCCAAACAGAACGGATGTGCCGGGATGTATTGAAGAAGTTGCAGAATTTGACCAGCCAGTCGGATCCCTCAATTCGTAGTTTCTTCAATGCCAAGTGGGATTTGCTGGCCAAGAAACTGGAGAAGCCCTATTTCAAGACCTTCGATGAGTTTCGATCGCATGTGGATGGGATTTTCATGAAATACCATGACACAGCCAAAAGTATCTACGAAAAGGCCTTCAATCTCCCAGGATCCTGGACTATTTCAGTGAGTTCTGCGAATGGTGGTTCCCCCTTAGCTGATTCAGATCTGGATGAACTAATGAAGGCCGCCCAACTGGCAGAGAGTGGCTTGATGCAGTTCCTCCAGTCGCCGAGTTACGGGAACTTACCAAAGGCCAGGACTGCGGTGGAGGCCTTCTCTGAGACTATAACCAAGGCGAAGGCCAAACTTCAGGCAGCTAAGAAAAGTTCCGTAAAGAAATCAGGTCAAAAACAGAAAGGCAGCCCCAATCAGGAGGAGGAACCAATCGAAGGAGTACGCAAGCCAGCAATGGAGTTGCTCAATAGGCGTGAGGTCGATTCGGTCATGGCGGTGAGGCATGAATCCAGTGATGAAGAGGAACCAACAAAGTTAATTGGCGACTCGGAACAAAGTTCTTTGCAGAAATCGTTCACCAAACTTCCTCAGAATGCCATGGGGGAGATCATTCACATGGTCCAGCAACTGGAAGAGAAATCCCTGAAAGACGATCAGCTATGCATCAATTTGAGGAGCATCGGATCGAGCACAATGGTCATGATGAAACGAGCCGTGCCCAAGGTGTCGCGGGCCTATAACAAGGTGAATGTCAAGGATATGCCGGCCGAGGAACTGCAGGGACTTCGGCGCGACCTGGAAGAGCAACTGTTGAAACTTTCAACTACTCTGAACGACAATCGTCGCCGGGGTAATGCTTCCACGGCTAATGCAAGATTGAATAGCACTAAGACAGCTGCGAGGAAGAAACCATCTAACCCATTGGCGGCCAAATTGAATCCGCCACCGGTCAAGGATAGCGGCCAAGGATTTGGTACAGGTGTGGGTAAATGTCGCAATCTCAGTGACACCAGCGATGACTCCTCTGGCCGGTCCAGTCCTCAATTTCAGCCCCAAGGTGACTCTAATCAGCGGATGAATAAGGACCAGAGTAACATGAATAACAAAAATCCACCGCAAAATGAAAAGTATTTTCAGCCAAACTTTATTCCTGGTAGAGAACTCAAGATCAGCAGCAGCAGCAGCAGCTGTGACTCGCAGCCAAAATCCAAATCGGCCAAGAAGTCTGGCTCTCGTTCCAGCTCCAGCTCCAGTTCAGGCTCCAACTCAAGCTCTGGCTCTGGCTCTGGCTCAAGCTCCAGTTCAAGTTCTAGTTCCAGTTCTGGATCCAGTTCGCGTTCGAGCAGCAGCTCCAGCTCCAGCTCCAGCAGCGGTTCCCGTAAAAAATAAGGAACTGCTTTTTGCCGTAAAAGAAGGACTTTTAAATTTTAACTTTGTATTTTTAACACTTTCATAAAACATTTAACCATTTTAGACATGGTTTTAACTTGGTTTGAGGATTAGAAAACTCACTTATATATGTTAAACTAAGACTCAAATAAATAAAAGAGGAAGTATTAAAAACAAAAAAGGCAATATTTTTGCATTAAATTACATTAAATTTAAAATATTTATGAAATTAAGTATTAAGAAACCTAAAAGAAAGCAGAGTTCGAAGTACAATATTCGCAGGTATTTTTCATATTTGAATAACAATTAAAAATTAACATAAATTTAATTTAATTTCAAATGACATTTGCCTAAAAGTCATTGACACATTCGAAGGACAAAAACCAGCCATGAAAATGGAAAACTACGATCAGAGATCACTGATTCAGAATCAAGAATCTCTGCTTCCTTTGCGACGATCACGTAGCCGGCAAAATTTTCACGAAAAATTATGCAAATTTCCCAACTTTCTCACGATCGCAGGAAGGATGCTCGCAGTACCTGACACCCAGCAGTCCAAATTAGAGCGGAGATCATGCAGATCTGGCAAAGCGCAGCGGAAGGAGTTTTCCACAAGCAAACGAAAATTTGCATAAGATTTTCACTTGGCGAAAAAAAAACAAGGGAAAAGGGTGAGGATGCACTCTCATTTGCATAAGAAAACTCGACTTGCGAAACTGGCAAAAGGACGAAAAACCAAAGATCCAAACGAAAGTGAAAATGGGAAATGAAATAGAAAAGGAAAAGGCCAGAGAGACAGGGGTTAATTACGGGCACAGTGGACGGCGCCTCAGTCACAGCATGCCGACACGCTCGCACACCTGAGTCCTGCCGAGTACCTACGTCCTGGCAGCAGGGGGGTTGAAGAGGGACAGCACTAGCCTGGCTCATTTGCATAAGGTCCACACACACACACACACACACATACACGGAAGATCTGCATGCAATTTACTTGCCCAAAAATTATGTAAATCAAGAATCGTGCAAAAAGGAGACTTTCTCACGCTCCTCGCCGCCTCAACTCCTTCGGCAAATGTCCTGGCCGTGGAGGCATCGCCGCATCCTAAGTGATCGTAGATCTGAGGGGTGCGGTATTTGGGTTTCTGCACACCGGGCAGCAAATCAATTTTGATCGATTTTAATTTAGCCTTCGATTAATTTGGTCATTTGCATATTTAGGGTATGTCTATTCGTATCCTGATTATTATGCAAATTCCTGGGAGAAGATTTACTTGACTTGAGCCTGGAGTAAGCTGATGGACTTTCTTAGGGCAGAAGGGTTTGGGCTTACTTTTTTGCTAGCTGGCTGATTTATGCGAATCTTTAATGGGTAAAATAAGGTTCGGTTATTGTAATTAAAGATAAATACGAGGTAAATTTCTAATGTGAATTATATCTAAAAATTATTCCATAATTTAATAAGAAACGTTTTAATATGAAACGATTTTTGAACTATATATTTTCAATATTATATTCTCAGATATATATTTATGAAGGAAACGGAAAATTAAAAATTAAATTGCTTATCTTTGTTATCTCCGTTAAATCTAATCTTAATCAAATATCCTAGTAAGAAAAACTTAACGACTAGTTAAGCTAATCCCTCTCTCTGCACCCAATATTAACTTAATAAACAAATCTATGAATAATAATCTAGTTTAAAGACTAGTTAAACCTTAACTTTATATACTATACCCCACTCTCTTTCCCCTCTACTATTTTCTTCAGAATTTTGGCACATGATTCGCTGATTAGAGAAACCACTCCCTCCCAGCAAAGCCACCGAAACCCACCCTCCACACAACCCCTAAAACCCCAGAAAACTTGCAAAATCGCCACTGCGATTCGCCAAAAAACCAATCGAAGAGTCTTGCATGTTTGCGAAAACTGCAACTGGCAGCCAATGCCAGGCATTTCCACTCCCTTTTCATTTCACAAGCAACCACCGCTCGCGGCGCAAGGACTTTTCCCCGCAGGAAGTGAACTTTGATGTTGCCACCAAACTGGACTCATACTGCCAACGGTGGACGATAAAAAAATCCGCAAAACGAGGGTTGTCTCTCATAAAGTACTTATCGAAAACACCCCAAAGCACCCTCCCTCCGCTCTGTACTAACACACACATACAAACACACACACGCGTAGTGTGCATTATTAAAAGTGGATTGTGCGTGTGCGAGTGTCTTGTATCTGGCAATTTTGGCAGCAGCAACAACAACAGCAACAACAGCAACGGCAAAGCCAAAACTACGGGCCACATGCAAATTTTTTGTAGCAATCGCTCAGGGGTTGAAAATTCATTTAATGAAGGTTGAAAAAAAAACCGGAAAATAAAGTTAAAGCTGCAGCAGACGTTGCCCAGACGTGGAAGCCTTACTACACTATACATAGATATATATTTTCATATATATATATTTATATCAGCAACCCCCCAGCTGGCCCTTCTGCGATTTTCGACGTTGTTGTTTATGCTAAAAAGCGTTAAAAATGCGACAGGAGCTTCTCTACATTTCCTGCAATATTTTCCTGCTCTACTTTGGCTTTTCGCGTTGCGGTTTCTACAAAGGGGGTGGCCATTTTTTTTTTTTTGCTTCCACCCGAGCATAAACTGTCTTGGAAATAGGCATTTCCCTCCTCCCCTTCCTGTTCATAATAATTGGGAATGTTTTTTTTTGGGAGTTGGTAAGTTTTGAGAGGGAAAATCCATTTAAGTCGATGTCGGATTTGCATTTTTCACAGAGATATCGATTGGAGTTCTTTAAGATTTTGGTGAATCATAGAGAAATATATTCGGAAAAACCAAAAAGAATTAAGCTTTGGTAAAGAGATAAGAAAGGAGATGATAATATGGAATAAAATGGACATGGAGTAAAATTAGAAATGTAGTTTATTAGGTTAATCATTAGGTTTGTGTTAAGTTATGCATAGTAATATTCGAAGATTTTGAACTTATAAAAGTACTTTATGCCGCCCTATATCCGAAGTTCAAGCTTTTCACAAACTGCTGTAAATAAATAAATATTCATAACATTATTTTTTTTTCTATGCGACCAACCGTCTGCATTTAAAAGCAGATATTAAAATGATCGATGCACTCATCTCTCATTCAACAAACAAATTCAATATACGCAAATCCTATATCGCACATCCGCGTGCTGACAGGTCATTCCCTTCCTAGTATTACGCTAGTAACCACGAAGCACCAGTCTTAGTTTTATCTTTATTCTTTAAGCCCATTGAGCCAAGTTTTACCATTTTCTTGGGTGATTAAATGTAAATAAAAATGAACAAATAAATATTAAATAAACAAAATATAGAATATAATAGTTGTAAAGGTAGTTAAAAAGTCTAAACTCTAAGTAAAAAATTTGTTAGCTTTAAACAAAATTGAAAATGATATTGAAAAATAAAGCAAAATTATTGAAAAAATAAATAAATAAAAAAAAAATTATTTTAAGTATTTTAATGCAAATTAGATTGAATTAACAATTTAATTTACATTATAAAGTTAAGCCAAATTTAATATAATTTTAAATTTTTGATAACTTTGTGTGGCTTTTAATTTAAAATTTAGTTAAATCAACTCAAATTATTTATTCAGATTATTATTTATTATATATTTAATATATTTTCCTAACAATTATTATTTTAAATTTATATTTTCAGAGCCCCACTGGAATTTGTACCTTCATTTATAAAAGAATTTAATTAATTTTTATACGATTTGCGATGATGTTTGGTTTAATATTTTCATCTCATCTTTGTTGCTTGGCAAACTCCATATTTATTCTAGTTAATTGATAAAAAATAATACACCCTTATGTTATCCTTAAAATAATACAAAGCGTGCAGAAGGACGACTAAATATATAGTTAGGCCCTACTATATATTTAGTCGTCCTTCTTCACGTATTTTATTATGATCGGCAAAACATATATTTCTCAAAAAAATTAATCAATAAGCTTAAAAATTCAGAAACTAGTTTAACCCACTACAACTACATGAGTCCAATAATAATCTTTTTTTCTCAGTGCATGATCTCCAGGCGGGAAATGTGAAAATCGTTCAGACGTTTGGGGGGGACGAGACAGACTTTTCTTATCGCACTTGGATCTGCAACTGTCACTTTTCATGTGGAAAGCCGAGGAGAAACCAGAGAAGAAGACAGGGAAAACGTGATGTCTGTAAACACCGAAGGACAAACATTCGCTGCTATCATATTTGGCATAAATTACACGCCATACGCCATTTCCAGCGAGCCCTGGAAAGTGCGGGTGTTTTTTGTTTTTGGGGGGGAAAAAGGAAAATAGGGAATTGGGACAAGGGACAAGGGAAAAACATATATCCCATCCCTTGGATTGTGTTTTCAGTTTTTTATGCGACATAAACAACGCTCAAAGGAATGGGAATTGTAAGGAAAATGCAGCGAAAATGAAAATAGATATACTCGCGCACTCGTCGCGCTTCACACGCGCAGGGATCGTTTGGTTGCCTCTCGAAAAGGATCCAATTACAAAGGATATGTATCTGGGAACTTTGACTCGAAACAAAGCAACATGCATTTGAGGAAAAATCAAAACTGAAAAACTGAAGAAAAAACTGAAAACCCAAACAAAAAACTGTTTGAATTTGTCGCATTTCGTGGCCTTTGTTTAACCGAAAGGACAGCGTGTGTCAGTCGCTCGAATCGCTCGAGGCTATCGATCTTGGTTTCACTTTCATTCGCAGATCCTTTTTATTTGTTGGTCCTTCGTCCTGCCAGACGTGTGCCAGAGCGAGAAGGAGCAACGCTGACCATTGTCCCGACTTCTTGACCTCTGCGGGCAAATTAGCCACACTCAATAGTGAGGTGATCAAGGGAGGTGATCAGAACTGATGGGAAATTGATGCTCTTATAGGGGTCGATGCTGTGCGAATTAAAGGGAATACGAAATGTGTTTTATATCGGAGGGAGGAGGCGG